CACCAAACAGACGCGAATCTCAAATCCCAAGGTCACCGAATGAGGGTCCACCAAACTGACGTCCACTGTCCCGCACCGAACCAGGCTCTGATACCACTTCTCCTAACCGGGATCATACTATCCTTTTACAATTAAATTGCTAAACCGAAAACAGTTTTCCGAAGGGAACTGGTAATCTTTAGAATATGCAAAGGTTTCTCCATCATTTCTTGTTGTAAGTATAGTAAAGGGCGCTAACGCTAACACTTGTACTAAGTCCAAACATATTTATCACTGTAACATAGATGAGTTTCCTTACAAAACAAGAGAAATGAATGTGGATACGTGTGTGTATGTTATTTAAACAAGTATTTTCTCAAAACAAAAGAGACAAATGGAATAGGGTTCCTTTATCCGGGTGTAGCAAAGCAATTAAACTGAAACATTACTTAGGACAAACTATAGTAGAAGGGATTACGTACGAAAGCTAATTCCTTTCCTGTTTCTCACACAAATATCAAGTTTAGAGTCTTCTTAATTGGAATAAAGCCGGACTTATGTGTGTATATATATGTCGAACAATCGCACTTCCATATAGCAAAAACATAAACTCACAGTTGAAAGCATAAGGAAAATTTTCTCCAAGCAACATACTAAATAAATTAAAGATATATATCCATGGCTTCGAAAGCTTGTATTCTTTTGTTCTTGTTGTTGGCTGCTTGCTTTCTAATCTCCGATGGCGCTTCCAGGGTCCGACTCTCAACAACCAACTCATCACCGCTCCCTTCCATAGTTTCGGATAGGGTTGACGGTGTCCTTCAGGTATCCATTGCATGCATGCACGCAACATTCTTTTTCATCTTTCGGCCATGTTAGTATTACGTTAGAACTATAATAACCATTATGTTAGTATTATATAATAACCGTTATTGATTGGCTACTGTATAGGCCGAAAGCGACTTCTCCCCGCCAGCACCAGTGGCCTTGACTGCTACGGCCAAAAACGGCAATGAAATTGACTGTCATAAGCAAAAGGGCGATGACGCACCAGCTCCCGGGGACGACTAATGATTGAAACCAAATCACACCAATAGGTTAATCATGATCACCATACAAACTTTGCTTCATGTGTCGTCCAATGCATGTCCTTCCGTGCTTTCTACGCATTATAATATCTACTGTTCGTGTTTTACATCTGCTGAATTAGTACAATAAATAAAAGGGTGCATGCATGCATGCAATTTCCTCCACCACTCATCTAATCAACCTGTAACACCCCGACGTTTGGCTTCAAGTTCGACCATAATAATGAATGAATGGATAGACGATTACGTACGAAGAGTTGCAACAGTGAATAAGAGAAAATTGTAGTTACGTTGGCCAAAGTGATTGGGTGATCAAAGTTCATCAGGAATTCGCGCCACGATGACTGTGTAGTGTCATATCAATCTGCAGACATGCATTAAAGTACTCCAGAATTAATGACATTGGGAGATTCAAGGACGGAAGGAGAATGGCCGGTCTTTATTTTCTTTGTTCCTTCCTTCTATTACACCACCTTTAGTGAATGGTTCCAAAAATGCAAAATTTGAGGCTAGAATTCTAAATCTACCCTCTCCAAAACTGTTTTTGCATTAGTGGGCAAGTTTCAAAAGTCTAAAATTCCAGAATTTGACATTAGCTCATAATACTATTTAGTGTTGATTTCATTAATCTAATTACCAAAATTTGGCTTCAAAGTTCGAGTCCATTTTAGTAACCAGTTCACGTACAGAATTAAATTGTAGTTACGTTGGCCAAGTGATTGGGTGAACAATCGACGAATATAGTTGGAACAACCTCCATCACGTTCTAGGCACGAAGTTAAGGTAACGAGCTAGCTAGACCTCCTCTTTCATTTCTTTTGAGTTTTGGGTATCTTAGTGTCATAAACGGATTGCTCCATTAGTACTAAATTGTCCACTTAGGGCCAAGCCCGCCACTACTAAAAAAGGGAGCTATGCCAAGGGTTCTGTACCAAGGGTTTATTAAACCTAAGCTAGTTTTATTCCGAACTCACCGTTTCACCGGTTTGTTCAGGGGTTTGGAAACCCCCGCTACGGATTTAACTACTAACTATCTATCGTAGAAACTCTTCTTTTTCCAACCCCTATTTTCGTAAATTCTTCTCGCCATCTCTCTTCCATCAACAAAATCCCCAATTTCCAGCTCCGATCCTATGCCCGAGAAATAAAAACGCACATTGATCTCTCTCTTCCACTGACGAAATCAATGGCGATTCTCCGGTCTCTCATTCTCGATTCGGTGGAAAACTCTTCCACCGACAGAATCACCGGCGATTCTCCGATCTCTCTCTCCCCCTCTCTCTCGATCCGGCGAAAAACGATGTAAATTCTTTGATTCTCCTGCTCGATGATAAGGTTCTCTCTCTTTCTCTTTTTCACTCTCTTGCAAGCTTTCAGTCTTTCTCTCTCTCATGCGCGCGTGAGCTCTCTCTCTGGCGGCCGTTGGAGCAAGTTGCGGTCAAGCCGGAGAAGGCAGAACTCAAGTTGTGTAAGTTCGGGTAGTAGGGTTTCGAAGAATTGAGTGTTTGTGGATAGAGTGTTTATAAATTAGGTCAAGTCTGAAATACTTCAGGCTTGTTCGTTCCTTATTTACTGTGAAGCCTCGAGATTTTATTAGTATGGATAGAAGATACTTGGCGGCGGCGGCAGCATTAGCAGTAGTGCCAGTGAAGGAGGAGGGAGCAGAGGATCCGGCTTGGGTTATAGATCGAGGATCCCGACTATGTTGTTCTCGATGTTCACTAATTTTGCTTGAATTTACGTCGCCGGCCGGTAACGCCCCGATGATGCACACACCCTCTCTCTCGGTAAATCGCTCTCGCAATTTACTCCGGTGAATAATTGCATAAATTTTGGGTTTCGATTGTTCTCTCAATTGGTTGGCGGATGTTAGGTTATGGCAGAATTCGCAGCATAATGTTTATTTGATTAAAGAGCTCGACCGGATTACTTGGCAGGTTAGGCATTTTTGGTTTCTTACTGCTGCTCAAATTTCGAATTTCCTCTGCTGCTGATAAGATACATGAATGTTTGTTAAGTGGTAGGCAATGAAAGCTAATTGGATGGACAATTATAAGTTGAACACCACTGGATAGCAATGTTGCAGCTGTGAAAACAATGTTAATTGTGACCTGTTCTTTCTGTTTTATCTCTTTCCCCCCTGCTACTACTTGTAGCAAGGGTTAAAACCCTTGGTATAAGTTAAAAAAACCCTTGTCGTAGGCACATTTTATTGTAGTGCGCACAGTTTTACTCTGGGGTGTCCTCCCCAAAAGGCCTCGTGCTAATGAGCTTGGTGGACACTAATATACAACGATTCCTTTCCTTGTATTCCCGATGTGGTACTTGGATTGTCTCGTAACAATCCTGCCCTCAATCCAAGGACCACGAACTTCGTGTCCTCACCCCAGCTATTATCTTGATCTGCCAGACGCTTTGTATCGATGGGCATCTCGGTACAAGGACTTTAGCAAACGCAGAACTCTCTTTGATATGCTTCCAAAATGTGGAACTCTCTTTGATCCGCCAAGCCCAAACGTGGATCTCTCCTATATCCACCAAACAGACGCGAATCTCAAATCCCAAGGTCACCGAATGAGGGTCCACCAAACTGACGTCCACTGTCCCGCACCGAACCAGGCTCTGATACCACTTCTCCTAACCGGGATCATACTATCCTTTTACAATTATATTGCTAAACCGAAAACAGTTTTCCGAAGGGAACTGGTAATCTTTAGAATATGCAAAGGTTTCTCCATCATTTCTTGTTGTAAGTATAGTAAAGGGCGCTAACGCTAACACTTGTACTAAGTCCAAACATATTTATCACTGTAACATAGATGAGTTTCCTTACAAAACAAGAGAAATGAATGTGGATACGTGTGTGTATGTTATTTAAACAAGTATTTTCTGAAAATAAAAGAGACAAATGGAATAGGGTTCCTTTATCCGGGTGTAGCAAAGCAATTAAACTGAAACATTACTTAGGACAAACTATAGTAGAAGGGATTACGTACGAAAGCTAATTCCTTTCCTGTTTCTCACACAAATATCAAGTTTAGAGTCTTCTTAATTGGAATGAAGCCGGACTTATGTGTGTATATATATGTCGAACAATCGCACTTCCATATAGCAAAAACATAAACTCACAGTTGAAAGCATAAGGAAAATTTTCTCCAAGCAACATACTAAATAAATTAAAGATATATATCCATGGCTTCGAAAGCTTATATTCTTTTGTTCTTGTTGTTGGCTGCTTGCTTTCTAATCTCCGATGGCGCTTCCAGGGTCCGACTCTCAACAACCAACTCATCACCGCTCCCTTCCATAGTTTCGGATAGGGTTGACGGTGTCCTTCAGGTATCCATTGCATGCATGCACGCAACATTCTTTTTCATCTTTCGGCCATGTTAGTATTACGTTAGAACTATAATAACCATTATGTTAGTATTATATAATAACCGTTATTGATTGGCTACTCACTACAAAAAAATGGGTCTATGGCAAGGGTTTTTTCTACCTATAGCAAGGGTTTTTACCCCTGCTACAAGTTGTAGCAAGGGTTTCCCCAACCCCTGCATGAACCCTCGCCGAGGTTTAAAACCCCTGCTACATGTATCAAGGGTTTAAACCCCTGCTACAATTCAATATAAAATTCAATAGTAAGATGTTTGTATCAAGGGTTAAGCCCCCTGCTAAGTTCGTTGCTCTAACTAGCAAGGGTTAAAACCCTTGCTTAATTTGTCTCTAAATCAATTGCAACCAACTCAGAATGGTCACTAAAGAGAGGCTGATAAATTTTTTGAACAAGCTCAAAACTGTCGCTAAAAACCCATGAAAATTGGTGACTATAACTTGGTTGCAATACTCTGGTCACTATAGATAAATCCATAACCAAGCATTTTCTTGCAAATTTTTTTACAAAAATCATTCTTGCGTAGCCAAATCATACAATACATTATATCCATGGTTCAATCCATCATATGATAGAATGATGTCTATGTTATGGGGCTCTCTTTCAGTAACTCTCTTGCCTTCAATCCATCATGAGCTGCAGCAACTGCTCGAATAGAAATCTAAATAGGCCTGCACGTTAAGATCGGAATAGGTAAACTAAGCTGGAAGTCTTACAAGCTTCAAATTAATAGGCATGAAATATTAATGAGAATGAGAGCACAGAATCAGGTAAATAACAAACCATCATTTTCATAACATAGTCATATGAGTGTCTTTGCTTACCCTGCTGCATATCAAAAGAAGAGAACCATGGAGTCAAACCTCAAAATGATTGTACTTAGAAGATTGTGCTCGATCATTGCAGTTAGAAGGTAAATAACAAACCTTATATTAGTGTATAGTTTGCTTGCACTTAGAAGATTGTGCTCGATCATTGCACGATCAAGGACTGCAAAGTTGTCCAGCAATAGTGCTTTCTATTGAAGTACAACCAATATTAAATAAGCACATGGCTAATGGATGCAAGACCTGCCAAGTTGAAAAGTTCATCATCATTAACCTGATGTGGCTTCAGTGACAGGATATGCTTTAGAGGGCATGATTAATACATACCTGATACCAAGTTGGCAGCTCAAAACCATCTATGAAGAATCATCGTCAAGTGTACCTTATGAACAAGTCCATTACTGAGTTTAGTAGAGAATCCACATTCAAACTAGATAATCAAAATACAAAACAAAACTTGCATAGGAGAGGCAACAAGGAACACTATAAAAAATTAGTCCAGGTCAACACATGGCCTAGTAGGCTAGTACAGGTGGTTATACAACAGAAACATAAAGCTTTTGCATGTATCGGTTACAACAGAACCTTGAGAACATAATTCAGCTCATCATCATTTCTCATGTGCAGGCAAATACTTCTCTAACACACAAGACTCGTAATATTCTAAGTACAGAGAACCTAATGATCTACTCATCACCCAACATCTTCCAGCTCATGGGTCAGTACTATTAATTACCTAAATTCTCTGTATGCTACTGCTTCTTACACAAGAAATAAAATAAAAAAGAAATGTCATGGCAGTACCCCAGAAAGGATTTGTGTATAGTACCTGTATATCAATGACCAGAACAAAACGAAGCTTCTTTACAGCTGCTGTATGTAATAGTAAAGGTATCGTCAGTGGTGGCATGCCTCTGTTTTAGTTGGTTTATTCTGCTGCTTGACTGATGAAGGTTAAAAAATGTTCAAACATACGGAAGAGTAAACTCTGAACATATGAATTATCGACCATGAATGGTTCCTACCATGTGGAACTCAACATATGTTGGAATGCTAATAACTAAAACAAAATTAAGTTACCTAGCACATATTGGAAGGACATAGGCAGCAATCATGAGGAGGTAAGCTGAGTTCGTGATAAGGCAAGATCCTAAGCCTCTCGTACTCATCCAATGCACCCGGATTAGTGTCGATGAGAGAAGCATCCTAACAATCCATGACGGTTCAAGATCTTCTCAATGAAAAAGAGGTTTGCATCACTGATGATTCTCAATTCACATATGGGGAACAAACCACATTGCACAAAAAATAAAACAATCAAATTCTCCACCCACATCGCTAAAGGGGACTGGTTTTGGCAAGGAGGTGAAGAGTACCACCCAAGGGCATGAGCTGATTTTATAGATTCAACGAAACAAGAACATAATGTAAAACCCTAGAATGTATAAGGGGTCAAGTAGATATCAAGGATAAGCATTAACGCAGACGAGTAGTGAGTGAAATTAAGGGTGGATGAAGCGGAATGAATTTATATTTGATTCGGGCTTGGAAGGGGAGGAGACGAAGAAGCAGAGCATCATCCCTTTGTTGGTTGTCATCGACGTCGAGCACCAGAGTCAAAAAGACATCGGAGAGCCGATCCATGTTACTTCGTCTTCTGCTGCTTCGAATTTCTAGCTTCTGCTCTCACATGGAATGAATGTTCTATCTACCACAACAAGAAGTACTGATTCCGATCAAAATATGAAAGAGAGAGTGATAGTGAATAACCTAATTGAGAGAATCAAAATTGATTTCAATCGGAGATTGCAATCTCTATCAAATTTCACGAACAGCTACCAGAGAGTTCATTAACCGCCTTTCGAATCAGCTTCGTCGGAGAAGCTATCGGCAAAGCTCGCATGCTGGAGTTCGTTAACTGCCCGTCGAATCAGCTTCGTCGGAGACGCTATCGGCAAAGCTCGCGTGCTGGAGTTCGTTAACCGCCGTCGAATCAGCTTCGTCGGAGACGCTATCGGCAAAGCTCGTGTGTTGGAGTTCGTTAACCGCCGTCGAATTAGCTTCGTCGGAGACGCTATCGGCAAAGCTCGAATGCTGACTAGAGATTTTGTGCTATGGAAGAAGAAGCATTAGAAGATGGAAGCGGGAACTGGCACTGGACTAGGGATTTGTTTCTTTACATTTGGGATTGGGATTGTTTTTGCCCCGTGAAAAGCTAGAAACAGTAAAACTAGATGAAATGATGGTTAATTACTTACTTAATCCCCTAGCAAGGGTTTCTCAACCCCTGAAATATACCGCATCTACGGGAGTTTCAGGAAACACTAACAGGGGTTTCATGAACCCCTGCTACCAAACCCTTGCCATAGGCTCAATTTCTTGTAGTGACTGTATAGGCCGAAAGCGACTTCTCCCCGCCAGCACCAGTGGCCTTGACTGCTACGGCCAAAAACGGCAATGAAATTGACTGTCATAAGCAAAAGGGCGATGACGCACCAGCTCCCGGGGACGACTAATGATTGAAACCAAATCACACCAATAGGTTAATCATGATCACCATACAAACTTTGCTTCATGTGTCGTCCAATGCGTGTCCTTCCGTGCTTTCTATGCATTATAATATCTACTATTCGTGTTTTACATCTGCTGAATTAGTACAATAAATAAAAGGGTGCATGCATGCATGCAATTTCCTCCACCACTCATCTAATCAACCTGTAACACCCCGACGTTTGGCTTCAAGTTCGACCATAATAATGAATGAATGGATAGACGATTACGTACGAAGAGTTGCAACAGTGAATAAGAGAAAATTGTAGTTACGTTGGCCAAAGTGATTGGGTGATCAAAGTTCATCAGGAATTCGCGCCACGATGACTGTGTAGTGTCATATCAATCTGCAGACATGCATTAAAGTACTCCAGAATTAATGACATTGGGAGATTCAAGGACGGAAGGAGAATGGCCGGTCTTTATTTTCTTTGTTCCTTCCTTCTATTACACCATCTTTAGTGAATGGTTCCAAAAATGCAAAATTTGAGGCTAGAATTCTAAATCTACCCTCTCCAAAACTGTTTTTGCATTAGTGGGCAAGTTTCAAAAGTCTAAAATTCCAGAATTTGACATTAGCTCATAATACTATTTAGTGTTGATTTCATTAATCTAATTACCAAAATTTGGCTTCAAAGTTTGAGTCCATTTTAGTAACCAGTTCACGTACAGAATTAAATTGTAGTTACGTTGGCCAAGTGATTGGGTGATCAATCGACGAATATAGTTGGAACAACCTCCATCACGTTCTAGGCACGAAGTTAAGGTAACGAGCTAGCTAGACCTCCTCTTTCATTTCTTTTGAGTTTTGGGTATCTTAGGGCTCGTTTAGTATTGTTGCTTGTTTTTGTTTTCTGTTTTGTTTTATGAAATTTGGAAAACCAAGAAAAAAAATCATGTTTAGTTGGGTTTTTATTTTCTGTTGTGAATCAGAGTTGCACAACAGGGCCCAAATATGAGAAACAACAATTTATTGCTTTGGATCTGATTCTTAAACATGTTGCACACGGGATTCCTACTGGTTGGGCACTTGATTTCATTAAACAAGACCAGTTTTCGAATCCCCACAGAAGCAATTTTTTTTTTAACACAGCCCCCAACCCTACTTCAACTTATCAGCCCCCCCCCCCCCCCCCAAACCCTTCTCCCCCCAAAATCTTCTCAACAGAGGCGCCACCTCCGCCAAAGTATTGTCATTGCTTGTTGCGCCTTACATAATTTCATCAAGATTCATGCCGAAGATGATAAACTATTTCATGAATATGAAAATTATGAAGATGAAGAAGGTTCGACTTCTGGGGTTGAACTACCACTCATTGAGTTCAACGTCAGCTATGCAGCAACACGTGAGATGACCGAGAAGCGTGATGCCATTGCTAACCAGTTATGGAGTGATAATCGTGTTTAGTATTATTTTTTATGTAGGGAACATGAAAGATGTTAGGTAAATTGAATTTTGTGAGACTTTGCTTAATATTGAGGACATATCTCTTTTTTCTGGTTTTTAGTTCTTACAGTAGTAACTAAACGCGTTTTTGTTTCTTGTTGTCAGCTTTCATGATTTTACAGATTTATCAACTAAACAGGTTTGTATTTTCTGTTTTTTTCCTGTTGTGGTTGTACATCTGTTTACACAACACCACTGCAACCACAACAACAACAAAATGATACTAAACGGGCCCTTAGTGTCATAACCGGATTGCTCCATTAGTACTAAATTGTCCACTTAGGGCCAAGCCCGCCACTACTAAAAAAGGGAGCTATGCCAAGGGTTCTGTACCAAGGGTTTATTAAACCTAAGCTAGTTTTATTCCGAACTCACCGTTTCACCGGTTTGTTCAGGGGTTTGGAAACCCCCGCTACGGATTTAACTACTAACTATCTATCGTAGAAACTCTTCTTTTTCCAACCCCTATTTTCGTAAATTCTTCTCGCCATCTCCCTTCCATCAACAAAATCCCCAATTTCCAGCTCTGATCCTATGCCTGAGAAACAAAAACGCACATTGATCTCTCTCTTCCACCGACGAAATCAATGGCGATTCTCCAGTCTCTCATTCTCGATTCGGTGGAAAACTCTTCCACCGACAGAATCAGCGGCGATTCTCCGATCTCTCTCTCTCTCTCCCTCTCTCTCGATCCGGCGAAAAACGATGTAAATTCTTTGATTCTCCTGCTCGATGATAAGGTTCTCTCTCTTTATCTTTTTCACTCTCTTGCAAGCTTTCAGTCTTTCTCTCTCTCATGCGCGCGTGAGCTCTCTCTCTGGCGGCCGTTGGAGCAAGTTGCGGTCAAGCTGGAGATGGCAGAACTCAAGTTGTGTAAGTTCGGGTAGTAGGGTTTCGAAGAATTGAGTGTTTGTGGATAGAGTGTTTATAAATTAGGTCAAGTCTGAAATACTTCAGGCCTGTTCGTTCCTTATTTACTGTGAAGCCTCGAGATTTTATTAGTATGGATAGAAGATACTTGGCGGCGGCGGCAGCATTAGCAGTAGTGCCAGTGAAGGAGGATGGAGCAGAGGATCCGGCTTGGGTTATAGATCGAGGATCCCGACTATGTTGTTCTCGATGTTCACTAATTTTGCTCGAATTTACGTCGCCGGCCGGTAACGCCCCGATGATGCACACACCCTCTCTCTCGGTAAATCGCTCTCGCAATTTACTCCGGTGAATAATTGCATAAATTTTGGGTTTCGATTGTTCTCTCAATTGGTTGGCGGATGTTAGGTTATGGCAGAATTCGCAGCATAATGTTTATTTGATTAAAGAGCTCGACCGGATTACTTGGCAGGTTAGGCATTTTTGATTTCTTACTGCTGCTCAAATTTCGAATTTCCTCTGCTGCTGATAAGATACATGAATGTTTGTTAAGTGGTAGGCAATGAAAGCTAATTGGATGGACAATTATAAGTTGAACACCACTGGATAGCAATGTTGCAGCTGTGAAAACAATGTTCATTGTGACCTGTTCTTTCTGTTTTATCTCTTTCCCCCCTGCTGCACATTCGTCTTCTGATTACGGATACATATTTTTCTTCTCTGTCTTCTCTCCACAGTGTTCCTATGAAATTGTGAAATTGTGATTCTACTTGTTGCTTCTCTAACTCAGCTGATGCTTTCTGTGTACAGGAACAAGAATAAGTCTAACAAACAAGAATTTGCAAAATCCTCAACTAAATGGGGGGAGTGGTTTAACAGATTTGTATTTGTTACTCTGACCTGGATCCACTACTGCGGCATGTACTTTCTGGTAGAGAAACCAGTCTATTGCAAGGTCCAAGCCACTTGCCAATTTGTTGGTGGGTGGACTCATGGCTACCCTAGTGCATTCGGAGTCCAGGAGGCTCTAGTCTTGGTGGTGGGATAGTCACATCTCCAAGAACTCCAAATGGCTTCAGGACAATCTCACAGGTCCTTGCTTTAGTCATTTTCTTTTAGATCTTTTGCGACTTGCTCTTTTCTCAAGTAGTTCCACTCCATAGTTCATTCTTTGCTCCACTTTGCAGTTTTGTGGGCCTCTTTTGTTGGAAGCAAAAGTGAATCATTATCATATGTTGTGCAAAAGTAGGCAAAGCATACAAGTTATGGTCCTTTACTGAAGCTCATTTTCTTGTGCACGAGTCATATGGTCCTTTGTTTCATTTATCTGACTTAGCTTGCTGAATCAGTGGACCAGTCTTCTTCAAAGATATATTATAGAGAGCTTTCATCAGGGGACACATTTTTATGTACTACAACGGATTTTTAAAGATTGCCTGAAGTAATCAAAGGTAAGCCTTATGAACTTAAACTCTAGGAGATTAAGAAGAGTGGAATGTTACTTAACAACAATACTTAAAGTTTGGAAACATTTTTTACTGTTGAAAATAAGTTCGGCACATGTTCAGATTTGTTAGTTGTTGGAAGCTCATCTTAATCATTATTAGTCAATGTCTTTATAGCATTTCCACATTTTTGTTCTCGACCTCTTATGCTAGCCTCCAGAATTATCCATCAAATTCGAGTAATAATCTCTATCCTGATATTTTGGTTGATTCTTTGCTTAGCCTGTGCATTTGAACAAGTGAAGCAACTTTCTTCTCTATAAAGAATTTAAGATCTTCAAATGGGATTTGTACAGGTATTATGTATTTGGCAATTCATTTTGCAGAGTGTATCATAGCTTGTAGCAGCATTACTAACCCAATTAGCAGGATTTAGAGTTTTTCTATCTCAATTTTTACAGATGCTTCTGTATTTGTGCATGGAATACAACAGCTCATTCTATGGATTCTCCTTAGTGCGTTAGAAGCTGCAGAGATGCAAAAGCAAAAGCAACAGAAGATGCTAGGCAAATAATGGAGTAAACGGTGAAGAAAAAACTCTTTTCGAGGATGGAAATGATGATATTGATGGGGAAGAACATGTTAGAACATAGACTATTTAGAATGTTTAATGAATGATTTTGGTTTTATATTTTCTTAAGATTATAAATCATAGAATTTGTGGTGGAAAGAATTATTTGTGTTGTACAACCATTTGTAGGTTTTTTATATAATAAAGTTAATACTGGTCAATAAGGGACTCTCATCGAACCTATGTTATCCCTGGAATGTTTCTCAAGGCGAAAAACCAATTACCTGGATTAATTTTAGCGGCATGTAGCAAGGGTTTCCAACCCTTGCTACATGTAAGTTACCATTAGCGACGGGTTTTCTAGCGACAAATCAGACATCGATTTGTGTATATTTTAGCCATCTAAAGCAAGGGTTTTAACCCTTGTTATGTTTAGCAAAGGTTATAACCCTTGCTACGTACCCTTGCAAGGGACTTCCACCAAGGGTTGCCTAAAACCCTTGCTATATGTAGCAAGGGCGGCTTTGCCAAGGGTCGTTAGCAAGGGTTGGGCAACCCCTGCTACTACCTGTAGCAAGGGTTAAAACCCTTGGTATAAGTTAAAAAAACCCTTGTCGTAGGCACATTTTATTGTAGTGCGCACAGTTTTACTCTGGGGTGTCCTCCCCAAAAGGCCTCGTGCTAATGAGCTTGGTGGACACTAATATACAACGATTCCTTTCCTTGTATTCCCGATGTGGTACTTGGATTGTCTCGTAACAATCCTCCCCTCAATCCAAGGACCACGTACTTCGTGTCCTCACCCCAGCTATTATCTTGATCTGCCAGACGCTTTGTATCGATGGGCATCTCGGTACAAGGACTTTAGCAAACGCAGAACTCTCTTTGATATGCTTCCAAAATGTGGAACTCTCTTTGATCCGCCAAGCCCAAACGTGGATCTCTCCTATATCCACCAAACAGACGCGAATCTCAAATCCCAAGGTCACCGAATGAGGGTCCACCAAACTGACGTCCACTGTCCCGCACCGAACCAGGCTCTGATACCACTTCTCCTAACCGGGATCATACTATCCTTTTACAATTAAATTGCTAAACCGAAAACAGTTTTCCGAAGGGAACTGGTAATCTTTAGAATATGCAAAGGTTTCTCCATCATTTCTTGTTGTAAGTATAGTAAAGGGCGCTAACGCTAACACTTGTACTAAGTCCAAACATATTTATCACTGTAACATAGATGAGTTTCCTTACAAAACAAGAGAAATGAATGTGGATACGTGTGTGTATGTTATTTAAACAAGTATTTTCTGAAAACAAAAGAGACAAATGGAATAGGGTTCCTTTATCCGGGTGTAGCAAAGCAATTAAACTGAAACATTACTTAGGACAAACTATAGTAGAAGGGATTACGTACGAAAGCTAATTCCTTTCCTGTTTCTCACACAAATATCAAGTTTAGAGTCTTCTTAATTGGAATAAAGCCGGACTTATGTGTGTATATATATGTCGAACAATCGCACTTCCATATAGCAAAAACATAAACTCACAGTTGAAAGCATAAGGAAAATTTTCTCCAAGCAACATACTAAATAAATTAAAGATATATATCCATGGCTTCGAAAGCTTGTATTCTTTTGTTCTTGTTGTTGGCTGCTTGCTTTCTAATCTCCGATGGCGCTTCCAGGGTCCGACTCTCAACAACCAACTCATCACCGCTCCCTTCCATAGTTTCCGATAGGGTTGACGGTGTCCTTCAGGTATCCATTGCATGCATGCACGCAACATTCTTTTTCATCTTTCGGCCATGTTAGTATTACGTTAGAACTATAATAACCATTATGTTAGTATTATATAATAACCGTTATTGATTGGCTACTGTATAGGCCGAAAGCGACTTCTCCCCGCCAGCACCAGTGGCCTTGACTGCTACGGCCAAAAACGGCAATGAAATTGACTGTCATAAGCAAAAGGGCGATGACGCACCAGCTCCCGGGGACGACTAATGATTGAAACCAAATCACACCAATAGGTTAATCATGATCACCATACAAACTTTGCTTCATGTGTCGTCCAATGCGTGTCCTTCCGTGCTTTCTACGCATTATAATATCTACTGTTCGTGTTTTACATCTGCTGAATTAGTACAATAAATAAAAGGGTGCATGCATGCATGCAATTTCCTCCACCACTCATCTAATCAACCTGTAACACCCTGACGTTTGGCTTCAAGTTCGACCATAATAATGAATGAATGGATAGACGATTACGTACGAAGAGTTGCAACGGTGAATAAGAGAAAATTGTAGTTACGTTGGCCAAAGTGATTGGGTGATCAAAGTTCATCAGGAATTCGCGCCACGATGACTGTATAGTGTCATATCAATCTGCAGACATGCATTAAAGTACTCCAGAATTAATGACATTGTGAGATTCAAGGACGGAAGGAGAATGGCCGGTCTTTATTTTCTTTGTTCCTTCCTTCTATTACACCATCTTTAGTGAATGGTTCCAAAAATGCAAAATTTGAGGCTAGAATTCTAAATCTACCCTCTCCAAAACTGTTTTTGCATTAGTGGGCAAGTTTCAAAAGTCTAAAATTCCAGAATTTGACATTAGCTCATAATACTATTTAGTGTTGATTTCATTAATCTAATTACCAAAATTTGGCTTCAAAGTTCGAGTCCATTTTAGTAACCAGTTCACGTACAGAATTAAATTGTAGTTACGTTGGCCAAGTGATTGGGTGATCAATCGACGAATATAGTTGGAACAACCTCCATCACGTTCTAGGCACGAAGTTAAGGTAACGAGCTAGCTAGACCTCCTCTTTCATTTCTTTTGAGTTTTGGGTATCTTAGTGTCATAACCGGATTGCTCCATTAGTACTAAATTGTCCACTTAGGGCCAAGCCCGCCACTACTAAAAAAGGGAGCTATGCCAAGGGTTCTGTACCAAGGGTTTATTAAACCTAAGCTAGTTTTATTCCGAACTCACCGTTTCACCGGTTTGTTCAGGGGTTTGGAAACCCCCGCTACGGATTTAACTACTAACTATCTATCGTAGAAACTCTTCTTTTTCCAACCCCTATTTTCGTAAATTCTTCTCGCCATCTCCCTTCCATCAACAAAATCCCCAATTTCCAGCTCTGATCCTATGCCCGAGAAACAAAAACGCACATTGATCTCTCTCTTCCACCGACGAAATCAATGGCGATTCTCCGGTCTCTCATTCTCGATTCGGTGGAAAACTCTTCCACCGACAGAATCAGCGGCGATTCTCCGATCTCTCTCTCTCTCTCTTTCCTCTCTCGCGATCCGG